AGGTGAAACATAGGTGAAACATAGGTGAAACATAGGTGAAACATAGGTGAAACATAGGTGAAACATAGGTGAAACATAGGTGAAACGGAAAGGGTTCCATTTTTTTCTTCTGCATTTACGACACAGTAGCAAATATTCAAGTTATAAGCAGCTTTAAAAAACAAATGTAGGTAGGATTATTAATCTTTAAGCATCCAAATACTCAAAATTCACAAACCTGAGAATAGGATAGAAAAAATATACACGTGAGCAGGCCGATCAGCTTCAGCAGCAAACCCAAGTGCCAGAGGCAGTTCCCTGAGGAAGACACAGGTTAAGCAGTATTCACTCACCAGCTTTTCAACAGCAAAATCCACYATTCATTTCAATACTAGTGCTCATCATGTAGTGGAGACATGCTCAGTAATACATACTTTCAGAAACAAGCACTCCAATTTGACCCACAATATTTTTCCGCCATCTATATATTGCTATAACTTAGAATATTTATAATATTACTATTATTATAACTCGAGCACAGAGTATTAAGCCCGGGGGTTCCGGCTGTAGCCCAAGTTGAACTGCAACTCAGCTGAATTGGGCAGTTGAACTCCGGGCAAGCAGGGCCAGCGCAGCCAGAGGGACCATCGCTCCTCACGGCCGCCCAGGGCTGCCAAGCTCTGCCCAGCACGGGAATCGTCCCCCTCTCCYGCCACCGCGCTGGGCAGCTGGGAACGGGTCCAGGACCAGTGGAAGGTGTCCCTGAGGAATCTGCCCGGCGGGTGGTGAGCTGCGGCTCCCAGGGGCACAACAGCCCTCTCTGGGTATGGGGAAGGGAAGGGCYTTTGTAGGGAAGAACATCAGAGCTCTCTGCCGTATGGATAGCCTGGGAAAGAACCACCTTACACTGCATCATCTTACACATCAAATACCCAAGCAGTTACTGCAGCACTCCAAGGAACTGCAGCGCCTGAAGGAAGGAGAGCAGCGCCTGGCTCCCGTTTCCCTTTATGTCTTTGGCCTCACAGCAAAGGCCTGGAGSGCCCGCAGCCCCCCACGTCCCAGSGCCCGCAGCCCCCCACGTCCCAGSGCCCGCAGCCCCCCACGTCCCAGGGCCCGTGCCGGGATGCGGTGGGCTCCGCGCCAAGGCCCAACGGGGACACCCCAGGGCTGTGCATGTCGGCCCTCCACACGCTGCAGGAACAGTCTCAGCTCCTACAGAACCCATAGCATAGAAACTGTGCCCTATGCTTTTAGTCTGCACGCAGTAACACTACAAATCCTGAAAAAAATACTTCTCTGATGGCCAAAACCTCCATCCAATTCTAACCTGACAGGCCAGCCACAGCTTCAGCCCAGTTACCAGCTGTTACATCTTTCAACTACCTCCCATATAATTCATACATAACAAAGTGTATTTCTGTGAATAGCTCTTGAACATATTTGCCTTATGTTACAMGGAGACTGAGATCTACCAGCAAGGTTAACTACCTACAGCGACATGCAAGGGCTCTACAGCAGAAAGAGTCCTCTTACCATTTGCTTTCTTCTGGACTATCTGAGGCCACAGAGCTAAGGTGACATAAATGATCACAAACCACACGGTGACTAATGGCACAAAGTAGTAGAACTGGTAGGGCCGGTCCATCACTATGCACAGCACCACAACCAAGAAGTTGAGACGAAACAAAACCTGGAAGAGAGGAGAAGAAACACTGGACGTTCCCACCCAGGATATTCTTCATTGACAAAAGTAGGCTCTGTCCAGTATTTCATTATATCTTTTACGTTTTGAAAGAGGTGGCAAATTAACCCAGCGCTTCCTCTTGTTCATGTATTAGGTAACTAATTCCATATGGAACAGCTGGATACTTAATAAAAGAGCAATGTGCAGAGAGCTTCTTTAACAGATCCAGCGGTGAGGAAWAGATCCCCAGTATTTGCTTTCAAAAAGTGGGCAAGTGGAAACGACTTCAACATAAACCAGACACAAGAGAGTGTCTGATCCTGCTACATAAAGCCTTGCAGTGATGACAGCAACAAAACCAATAACTACTGGGCTTTGCTGAATAATTTTGTTCACAGAGGAGATCAGAAAAGAAATCCTGTACTCAACAGCATCTTGGATTCACCAAAAAATAAAAAATAAAAAATCACATACTTGCAAAAAGAAAACTCTGATATAAGCACATTAGCAATTCAAAAAAAAAAAACCCCACAGATATATATGAAAATTGAGAAGACTGATATGGTGAAAATAGCAAAGGGAAAGGCAATGTAATGACCTCGATGGCTGATCTGGGAAAGCCACTGCATTTCCCCAAAACGGAGAGGAGCAGGTAAGAGCCATCCAGCTTTAGACACCTACCACGACCACCTTGGCCCTCCTTGAACTCTCAATAGTCACTGGGGAAAGGCTTTTCCAGAGGGTTATTCAGAACATCACACTCTGAATAACCCTCTTRCTCACCACAGACTACAGAAGAAATTTAAGATTTACCCAAATAAATCTGGTGACACGACTATCCCTYTTTTMTGCCACCCCTGACTCCCTGGATCATTCATCTCCATTRCTCTATACTGGAAAATAACTACTATTAGCTACTATTAACTAGAATAACATAAAATAGCTACTATTAATTTTTAAGGTCTACATATGTAGGCTGGGTTACACTGAAATAATGACTATCCTCTGGAAAGGCAAACCCTGATGAAACGATCTAATACCACACTACCTATGGAGCTGGAAAACTTGGCTACCTGCACACATGCCTTTACAAAAAGAGGGAGTTTTCTTACCTGACACACTCTGTATACACCAAAGTCCCCCTTTATCCAAAAATAGGAGAAGTGCCCATAACCTGTTTGGAACAGATACGCAGCAACGAGAACTCGAATGTGCATGTACACTGGCAAAAACTGTTGGGAAAAATCAGGGACCTTTTATAAATGCACAGGTAAATGCTTCGGGTTTCCTATTTTGCAGTTTTTTCTGTGTTGCTAAATGAGACTACAGTAAGAAACATTATGCTGGGTTTTCTGCCTTTTCACTAAGCTCTTTTTTTGACTTTGCCTCTCAAATGTTAAAAACCATTAAAACATGTATTTCTTCTATTATTCCACATATCCATACTCTGCACTTGTTTAAGAAAGAGTTAAGAAATGACCTGTGAGAGCTTATCCTGCAGCACTTTCACCTTCTAAATATAAAAAGAAAGTGTTGCTAGGAATTAAAGATAAATTAATGCATTTTTTTCTACAAGAAGCAAACAGAAGTATCACTTTTATTGGCAAGGAACACTTAAAATGTTATCGATGACATCTACACTGAAAGGGAGAGAGAAAAACTAACTCTGTAAGWACCATTTAAAAAATATAACGGAACAGAATTAACAGTAGTCATTCATTCTAATCAAGTCTGCTGCATATCTGCACACRTGAAGCTTTATCTCTTGAAGATGAATAAAGCTTTATTTTCTCTCAAATGAACACACCCAAATTCCATCCCCAGCTAAAAACAGGAAATTGAAAATCAATTACCGTGCTTGCTCCAGAGATGTGATAAATCAAAATAACGAGCTGCATCCAGCCTTTCCATTCATCCGTCTGCTCTCTGTTTAACACCTTAGTCTAATGCAAAACAAAACAAGAGCGTTGCTATTCCAGCAAGTACAAGAAACGTCTACAAAATGAGGAGAAAAAGTTCAAAACAGTAAATCACTTCATGGGCAGGCAGGTCTAAGCRGTAAAGGTCTCTGTGCAATGGACATTAGTGCATTAGACACTCATGCAATGCAGCCCCTCGCTTAGCTGAGCTATGCTCACTTAAAATCTGACTGACACGGGTGAAAAACCCTCATGTCCACTTTCGAAAAGCTTTACACCTAAGGGCATGCAAAAATTCTAGTGCTTGTGTAACCATTTTGGTAGAGAAGTTCTACAAGACCATTTTTTTCAGATAAATAATACTTATTTGGGGAATTTAAACTTTCAATATTTAGCAGGTAGATATGTTCAGTCAAAACGGGAAAAAGCAAGTAGGACGTCAAGATGGTCGTTACCTCTTTGGTATTTTCAGTATAAAATACCCCCAAAACCAAGATATAGATGATTGGTATGAAGAAAGACGAATGTGTATAAAATTTGTTTTCCTTCATGAAAAGATTTGCTCTGTCGCACAGATAAAAATAGGTCATGATTAGTCCAAGCTTGCAGAAGGAGTGTAACAGCATCTCCAGAGTGGAAACTGCAGGARCACCGACCGCAGGTTTCTTTTCTTCTCCATTTTCCAAGTCAGTGCATGGTTTGCTCTTCCGGTAATTATTTCGATGGATTAAATTGATAATTAAGTATCCAATGAAGGACAAAGTAAAGAAACAGAAAGCTAGCTTCTGAATGAGCGTGAGAGGCGGCTGGGGCTGGCAGCAGGAGCCGTCGATGGGCTTCAGGATCTTGTTGCAATAGACGTTCATGAGAATCATCGCGTTCTGCCAAGGAAAGAGGCACTTTGGTCAATCATGCTGCAATAAAACTGTATTTTCAGCACAAAAAGTTTTCTTAAACTGGATTATACACTAACAAAAGCTGTGTGCGTTTCCCCTGTTTGACTATAGGGTTAAAAACTTCATTGTACCCTACATATTCAAGGGCTTTCAGTAGCAGAATCAGCACATGTCCCACAAACAGCAAACTCTGATTCTCAAGATGAGCAAAGTGATGAATCGTTTTAAGACAAGGAAAATGAGCTAAAAGGGAGTAAAAAAGCCAAAGTGACTACAAAGAGCTGGCAAACTCAGGGACCTGAAGGTGTATAATAATGAAAACCCATAAAGATGACAATGGGATCCAAATCCCTGCTGAGATATGTTTACTTCATCCAGTGTTTAACTGAAACCTCCAAATAGGGACTGAAAGTGTCACAGTGTCCAGTCACAAAAGGGGCAGATTCTGACAAACTCCAGAGAGGTTGAATGTGTGCAGACACTGAAGACAAAATGAGGAAAAATGCCAGTAACAAGTCAGGCAACCAGGAACGGAGCTATCATGTGCTTTATCATTCTTTTCATACTGCTCCCTAAATGGAAGTACACACAAACGCAGTGAAAAATTAAGACTTACTCCTAAGTTTTGTTTTACAAATCCTCGTTACCCTGACTCACTTCTGCAAATGAGGACAGGAAACTGGCACCTTGGACTAMTCAAGATCCAAAAGATCTACAGACTGTGCATTTTTATTTAAYTGACAGGAATAAAATCTATTTTTAAAATAGTTATGTATTAATATACGGAACTGCCCTTCCACCTACTGGGACCTTTTGAACAAACTTTTCGGAAGAATGTGCAGGTCTTTCTTAAATGTAGCCTCCCAGCCGTTGCAGAGTATTCATTAAAATCTTTTATCATGATCTTTTCATAAAATCTTTTATTGGTGCTTTTCAGTGTTGACCAGAGGTAGAAATACTCACTGTTTCTCTGCTTGATTCAGGGAGGTGGAGGCCATCTGAAGATTTCATGATAGTTTCCTGTGCTATCAACTTGGATACGCTGAACACCTTAACCTTAGCTTTGGAATTCCGGGAGCTGCTGTTCAGAATACGAACAGCTGCCTCATTATAAGCATCTATTTTCTCATTAGTGATCATTTTACGACTTTCACTCAGCATATCTTCATAAACAGGATCTGAATATGAAAGCACAAAAAAAAAGGCATATTAATCTTAATAAACACATTTGTTTGCTCAAGTTGCACAGTCTAAATTCATTTTGGTAGCTACAATCATTTAATGCTAGAGAGAGAAAGCAAAGTGAGGAAGGAGYGAGTGACTGCTACAGTAGCTACAGGTTTTAGGATGAGATGTTTTCACTGGCATTCTGCTAGTTGTGCAAGCAGTTGTAGGGATCAGAAAGCTCTGGCCACCTAGGGACACTTGCGCAGCTTCCTTGAGCTCCTCCTGCCTTCTCTGAATATTGGAATCTCCCCTGCAGCGATTCCCAGGCAAGAGGACAGAGGACAGGTAGCAAAACACACACGGGAAGAAAAACCTCAAAAAACTCAGTTACTGCTAAAGAAACCAGTTTTTCATTTTTAAGCCATAGTCCATAAACACGTTCCACTTGTTCCTGGCAATACAATTTAACTAATGGCAGAATCCATTTTTTTTTCCCCAGAAGAATGGACCCCCACTTGATTGCTTACAGGCTTCATCTTATTTAAAGCATAACCCAAAGCTGTACTCAGCTCTAGGTCAAGAAGCTTAAAAGCTTCAGAAATCTGATAAAACATTCTTTAAGAGCAATATGCTGGCGTACTTCAGCTACTACTTTTAGGCCCACTTTTGGGCAACAGAAGTCTGGCTGTCCAGCCTAGTCCCACGTGCTTTTCCCTTATTTGTTCCATTAGGAGCATAAGCGGCTCACAGAGATGACTTAGTCTCCATCTTTCAGCATGTTGGGACTTGGATCTGGCAACGAACTGCTTTTGTTCCAGATGAAGACGATTTTGAAGGGAATGTGAAAAGATGAATCCAATGGTAAATCTCTACCTCTGTATCTGAGGTAAACCCTAAAGCTGTCTTTGGTAAGAACTCAGGACGTGACTGTGAAGATGCATCAGGGTATATTCCTTTTAGGGCTCAAAATCTGTCTGTCAAATTGAGGTGATAATCACTTAAAATGTTAAATTCTGTGGAAGATAAACCAGAAGCACATCTAACTACAATTTCATTTCTCAGGTCAGAGATATCTTTTAGTTTTACTCAAGCAAAGCAAAAGAATGCATTCAAGTTTGGTGCCATAATAAAAATCTTAGACTGATTTTGAACCAGTTCCTCTGACTCCTAAGCTTAACTCATCAAAGCTCAGTGTACTGAAGAAAGTTTCCTTCCAGGGAACTAAATTCTCTGTATTCCCCAAAACATATCTATTCATTTGCGACACTCACACAGGCTGCACTTGCAGAACCTCTGTTACTTATCTCATATGAATAAAAGAACTGACACGGACATTCAGGTGTTTTATGTCCCTGTGCTCTTGACTCCCAGGGGGCCCATCTGGCAGACTGAGCAAGGAGAAMAATCCTGACATCCTGAGACTGAACTAGGAAAGAGCTCGGAAGGCAAAAGACTTTGCAGAGGGCTTTAAAATCTCCACCCCTAGTAACAGCTAACTCAGTACTACCTAGTTAAGTAGCTTCAAGTAGGGCCAAACTGGAACCCAACCAGTATCCTCTTTCTCTCCAAGGAACCAGTACGGACTAAGTTTTCCACACCCTGCAAGATATYGATTCAACAAACAGTGACATGACAAATTGCCAGTACCTACTGTTCATTACTTTACCTTGTAAGACCCAGTAAACATCACTACTTTTTGCTAATTTTTCCAAAAGAGGTGCAATTGAAGTGATATTGATTTTATACTGTGTGAGGGCTTCGTTGCTGCCATTGTGAATCTTGATAGACCACTGGAGAATTAAATAAAAACAGATTCAGAATCCGTATGTCTGAAGATCCTATATTAACTGATTAATTTCTCCTTTAATAGCTATTTTTCACTGATTTTATAAAGCTAGCTTATTCTTTCAGTGTTATTAAAGCACTCAAAAGTTTCATTCTAGAAGTAACTGTCTAATTAAATAAACTCAAAAAAGCCAATTAAACACACAGTCTAGATTATTTAGCTTMCTGTATATTTGGGTTTTCATAAATTATATGGTACAAGGTGCCTTAATCACCATTTTCCCTGATTTGAGCAATGCTGAAACAGCAGTATCAGCCACACTAAGAACCGGGGCCAAACCCAGCAGATTTCACTCTCACAAAAAACTTTGACTTCAGCAAGAAAGGCAAGAACATTTTGGAGATTTTTAATTTCATCTCCTACATGAAAGGATTACAAAAATCCTGTATTAATATTGTATCTATACTGTTTAGCCAAAGTCAAAGCAGAGGTAATGTTGCTGATATAGCAGATTTTAGAAGCACTTTATATTTCTGCAAGTCACTTAAAGTAGGAGGTGATTATCTTTGGCCACTCTAAGTTGGTAAATAYGCATAAATATGCATATATATGTGCAATATAAATATGTAATACTTATGTATATTACATAAATAGTTTATGTATGTACAAATTTATGTACAAATAGTTTATGATCTATGAAACGCTAAGCCTCTCATGCACGTTGTTGTTTCTCTTCTGATATCCACAGATGACAACACACTGGTGCCAACATATACATACATATAATGTATACACGAGTAAAATGAACTATCCAGCAGAGTCCTGTAATTTGGCAGCCTGGGTTTCTGTGTCCCAGAACACTAGCTGCACAGAATGGCACGTTCTCTGTAACACAATGGCACTTGCTCATAAAATTTCTTGGATAACAGAGCTAAGAGGAGATATTCTAGCTTCTCAAAGCCCGAAATATTTATGTGAATTCTACAGCAGAAGAATTTAAGGGATTCACCTGCACAGAACCTGAACTCAGGAAGAAATTTGGACTACATCAGAGAACATGTGTGGAGGTGGACACACACACATACACACCCCCCCACACATATATATTTCACCTTCAGCTAAAGTATTAGCATGTCCAGGAGTAGAGATTGGTAGAAAGCCGAATTATTCTCTAAACCAAACTGCTTTCAAAGCATTTTGTTTAAAATGGTGCCCTCTTCTCCCCACTTGCAACTGATACGAAACTAAAATGGCCAATTCCTTTCAAATTCTATTTCAAAATATTGGGAAATAGGGAAAGCTAAATGTGCAGGATAACTAGAGCAGCTGCCATTAATGATTCTGGACTCCCACTACTGGAACAGAGTGCTTGGAAGAGCCTGTTGAATCGTCATCACTGGGAATTTTAAAGAACTGGTTACACAAAGTCTCAGTTTAGATATTCCTGTATTTTTTTGCCCATATATAAATCCAGGAGAATTGTGGGAGCCTCGAAAGGGAATTTCCAGATTAGGTCATGCTCAAAAGTGATATTCTCTAATAGAAAACCCAAACAAATATAAAAAGACATGGATGTCAGTTAATATACAAGCTCTTTTATCTACAGCTTTTTAGGAATAATTTGTTTTTCACAGAGAATCTTTTTATTACCTGTGTTTCAAGCTACTCAAAGCATTCTAAGCAATATTACTGTGAATAAACAAGTAGATTACACAGCTATAATAAAATATACTTCACATATTTACATTTTATAGACAAAAAAATCAGTTTTTTTATTATAAAATTGGGACAAAAACTTCATCATGCCACCTGCTTGACGGCATAAAAGTTATTCTGTTCAACTTCCTTCCTTATTAAAATGTCTAGTAAAYGTAGAGCTTACCGTGGCCGCTCCTGCTACAATTATATGAGGTTTTGCCGTGGCAGCCTAAGTSAAAAGGTAAAAAGAAATTAGTTTAAAAGCATTCACAAATTATACTCATTTAGCATGCTAATTAAGATTCATATCTTAATTAACTGATGATTCACAGTTGACTCACAGTTAAGAGGTACAAATGGGTGGATCATAGATAGATCATAATGAAAATCAACTTGAGAAGCACCAAACTTCTCACAGGGCAGAATCCACCAGGTACACAGTATGACTAAGCACTCAAAAGCATCAGCAACTTCAAAAGCTTCTCTTAGAAGCTCTCTTTAAAAGCTCAACACCTTCTCCTAAGATCAAGGAAACTTTAAATCACACTACTGCAGTCCATTTCCTGTAGGCATCTCTCAGCATTCCTGAACATCTCCATGAGCTGTTGCAAAGACCAAAGTGACCACAAGGCTGCTGTAAAACAGAACAAGGTCAACTGGCAGATACTGCCCCAGAGTGTCAAAGTGATGTCCAAGGCACACACACAAACAGGAGAGCACAAGGAAAGATAAATGCTGGTCATTTCTATAGCAAGCTTTGCTTTCACCCAGCAGGGATATGCAAATGTTCTCAAATATTTGTATTTAGCACAAAATATGAAACCTGAAAGATAACTTTGGCTGTCTTGGTAGAAGGGGTCTTGGAAGACTGAAGGACAGGGTAACAAAAGAGTCACTACAGGCCATAACTAGATATTTCTGGACCGTTCACAAACCAGAAAAGGAGAAGCCCTCACTGAGAATTAACTGCCATTCTGCAAATATTTCACTCATGCTGTAACACAAATAGCTCATCAGGACTGCATACTGAACAACATAACCACCTATATTATAAGTGAAACAGTTGTATGAAATAACTAGTATATACAATCAGAGTAATACTGCCCAAAGCACTCTACATACTTTCAAACTTGCTTGTGCTCTTCAGATTAGATAATTCAGCATGAGTATAAAAATTTCTTCTCCCCTAAAAGCAGGGCCATAACTTCAAGCACGAGGTGTGCCAAATGGCAGCATTTTTTCCCCTTGAGGAAGTCCYCAACAAACGTGGAGGTGCCCAAACCATGTCCGTCAGTAAACACTGCCCTTTATTATTCTGTCAGCTTTCAGATCCCTGGTACATAACTGGGTGAATATATGGGATTTGAACACATCTTCAACAGTGGATGAACCACGGCTTTAATTCTTGGCAATTATAGTTGTGTAACTGCAAACAAAAGAGATCACATTCCTCAGTTAGTTGCTCTATCTCTCTGAAGTATATACATATTTTCAAAACAAACCTCAGTCCAAGATTTGATACGTTGTCTCATAGAGCCATTAACTTCTGGATACCACAGGAAATCCTGTAAAGAAAACACAGATATACTTTGCAAGCATTGACATATGCAGTAGACTAAAAATAAAAATTCAGGAGAAAAAATTAAGCAACAGTGAAGGGAAACTGCATGACCCAAAGTGAGATTTCTTTTTTAATCTGCATGAAAAACCTAACATTTTGGGGTATATAAGAAAAGAAATGAKGAACATTTCAATTTGTAGTACACAAGCCATGATTTTACCATGAAGGTGACTCTTCAGCTTCTGCCAAGTGTGATGCCTGTTGTCCAAGACTAACAGGGTTAAAACTAATTTTGCACCTGAGATTTATTTATTTCARTTTGCTTTTTGTTCAATTCCCCACAGTTTTACCAACAGATTTCTTTTTCATACAGAATTTTACAAAGTAGTAATAATGAGACGGTAAGATTGAGAGCATGATTTTCAAAGTAGAAGAAATCTCCTTTAACACCAGAACTTAACAAATTCCTAGCTGCTTAAATCTTAGAGCATCATGGATATTTACTACTAATTCTCTTTTTTTTTTTTTTTTCTTTCAGAAGTCATGGTTAATCCACAGCCTTCATCTGCAAAAACAATCTATACTTTGGCTAGTGCCATTACGTCTCACAGATAAAGCCAGAGATTACACAGCCTCTAGCCAACAACTCGGATGCAGAAGTACCAAAACAACTSCAGAATCCATGTGAAATGGGCAAGATTTCCTATGTAAAAATAATTGTAAGGAAACTTTATAATGCAGAATGCAAAAAGGCTACCAGCAGATAGGAAACATCTCTATCTTCCACCTACAGAGACAGAAGGGTCTGGTCGTTCCCTTGAGACACACACTGAGTTCATGCCTGGGAAGGAATCTGTGCGGGATGGAGCTGCCATGTGCACTGCCCGGGGAGCACATGGGTCACTAGCACGAACAGGGAGGACAAGGCTCAACTGGGCATTTGCTCCCTGGTGCTTTCCTCCTGCGTCACTCAAGTGTTTTCCACAGTCAGGTTACTCACTGGAGTCTTTCTGAGTGTGAAAACTCAGCTGCTATACTAGTAATAGGAACGGCAGTACGGAGTCAGAGCACAGTCCTGTTCTTGGAGCAGGGAAGCAGGAAGATRCTGCTAACAGACCCCATCTCCCAGACACCCAAACCTGCCACCTCAAGGCTTGGCTGTTAGACACCTATCCAGGTTTAAGAGTAAAAGATGCAGAGATGACTTGGGCTAAGCCAATATACATCTGGACTTCTTCATCCTCTTCCTCTTGCCTTGCAGCTCTGTCCTCTCCTCTTCRGCATTCAGATATCCACATGATGAATCCTATCAGACTGAAAATGAACCTGACAAGACAAATTTTGGGAGTGGAGCAATTCCTAGCACTCTAGCTAGCCCCAGGCCTGCATCACAGGCACAAGCTGTTGGACGCAGAGGAGCAAGTCAAAAGCTCAGCAGGCTTCACCTGCCAGGGGATCACACCYTGAGCTTTTCTTCATCAGCCTAAGCCTTCACTGGGTGCCCAAAAAAGTGCTCGAAACTCACTCACAGACAACTGAGCAAGTGCTCTGTGCATGTGGCTTTCACRAACAGAGAATGGATTGTCTCCAGGGGATAAACAAATATATGAGTAGCAGAGTCCTAGCGCTGCTGACAGCCAGGATGGGAAGCACAGAGAGCTATTGAGGGCAGCACTCTAATTGCCAGGGCAGAGCAGGGCACTGCATTGTGTTCCTTTTCACATACCCACAYCGCATCTGCATCGCGGTGCTTTCTTTATGCAGTAAAACTAGACAGAGCATTTGCTGGGATAACACAGGGAGCGCAGCGGCAGCTACGGCAGTTGCCAYTCCAAGAACGTTAGCTCCAGATATATACTCTTAGGAGGGTAAGAGAGTAAACTTCTCATAGAAAGCTATTCTTGAACAGGCCAAATTATAACATTTGGCAAAATAAATAAATAAATAAATTATACCCAATATTTCCAAATCTCAAGGCAAAAGCTATCACAGAATACAAGCACTCAAAGCCAAACTCTCAAAGAATCCTAATCGAAATATAATACTATACAATATATTTTGTGGAAGACTTATAAAGGATGTTTGCCTTTCTCACRCTTCTTTTGACAATCACAACATTTGTGGAAATGTGAAAAATCCAGTTCTGCCAGCAAATTGTACACTTCGTATCACATATTCTCACGACTTGCAATTTAAAGCCAGATTAAAAACTTACCACTTTAATTGAAGCAGATTTATCTTCAAAAGGTATGTTTCCATGCTGCCAAAAGAAGTCAAACAGAAAAGACCATAACCAATCTTTCAGAGTACATACATACATATACATATATATATATATATATATATATATATATATATATATATATTCACGTGTTAATTTGTCCTCACCTAAAGGTTTGCCTTTGCTAGAAAGAATTTTTCCTGTATAGACTTGTCACTATATGCATGGTAAAATGCTGATGTTGCTTTCTTGATAAAACACGCTACTCTCAGAGAGGGCATTTTTCATGACAGCATTATATTCAAAGTCTGGAATGCTTTCTATTCACTCCATTACAAAGGTATCCTTACATATTTTCCTATGTTCTCTGTTCAGAATGAGAAAAACTGAAATCTTTACTTTTTTTTTTTTTTTTCTTTCTTATGTTTCATACACTTCCTTGCCCTAGCAGTTATTTCCATATACCTACATTCCYTGTAAACAACAGTTGAAAGAATTTCAATTAAAGAATAAAAGAAAAAAAAATCAACTCAGGTAGAATTAAAGCCTGGAATTTATCACTCAGTCTGTAGAATGAAAAGCTTATAAAAAATTATAATGGAAGTAGTCAGATAACCTTAACTACAGACAGAACTCTCCTTTAATATATTATGGCAAATATATTAATGAAATATATTTCACAAAAGATACTTCTCAATTTGAAATTAGTTATACCGCTCTAACCTCCTCAATGCTGCTTAACTTGTTCCTGCTTCTGGGCAGCAAATTTTATGCAACCATCAGGCTAGAACACAGAGTCATTCAATCAAATATCTCTTTTTTTTGACAAGTGAAATGTGCCTTCACTGCCTATTAGATAAACTGCCAGCTTGCACTTCTAAACCACAGAAATACTAACCAACTGACAGATAAAATCTAAAGTTGAAAGTGAAATGTTTTTTCCCTTGCATAGGTGCATTAACCTAAGAAGGATGAAATACCAGAAGAAATTATCATCCCATTCAAAGCAGGATACTACTTCCACCCACCAAGCTATAGCTCCCCCTGCTCACTTTGCAAATTCAAACTGCCTTTCAGCAGCTGTAAAACAAAAAGATCAGAATCTATTTTTAGTGCCAGCTTCAAGTCAGACCTGGAAATCACTCAATGCCCTAAGGATTGTTATGAACAGATTAGATCAGCAATTTGACTGATATATAAAATGACAAATTATAAGCTATGAATTGCTGCTGGTTAAAAACATACGATCATTTTCTCATCGAGAAGCCAAACATGAAGCACAAGCTCCTATGGGATAAATCAGCTTCACTAATTCATTCCCAGACTGCCACAAGATTTCACTCAAGCTTCCTAGTTCCCTTCTTTGATGACCAATCATCTCATTAATTTCCAAAAACTATATTGGTCCAACACTATTATTCTTCAAAGCACTTTTTTTGCATGTCTTCCTGATGACCAGGCTGCAAACAATAGAAATTCTTACTTTTGTGAAGTTTGGAGATAAGTTAAGAAGCAAATTGGCAGGGAAGAAACAAAAATTAACAACAACAACAACCTTTTTACCTTATTTCCTTCTTCCTTAACTTGTGGATTTATGAGTTTTATAAATGAGTAAAACAGCTGTCGAATTCTCGAATCTCCTACAAATGCAATATGTTTGTCTAGGAGGCAATTTTTTGCTTCACTGTAAAAACAAAACAGCAACATATATATTATGAGAAATGTATGCCTATTTTAGGGAAAAGTCTTAGAAAAAAATCTGTAGGGCAACAGAGATAATTCTACACACTACCTAGCACTCTAAGGAATGGCAAATCCACTTTAAAACATACCAGATTAATTTAAAAACAGAATAATTTGCATACAGATGAAAATGAACTCTCCTGCTAATACGAAAGCCTGTTCTAATCACATTATGTGGCACTAGAAACAAAGGAGTTTCAAAATAGTAATACAGAGTGCAATTCTGGAAAATTGAATTCTCTTACTAGTATTAATTTCAAAAGGTGACTGGCAATTTCATTAGCAATTGCTTGACAGAATTCTTCATGAGATGATTGCTTTTACTACACAGTTAGCTATATGGGATTATAAAAATAATCATAGTATTTTCCCACAGCAATATGGAAGTGACATACAAAGTTTTGCAGTTTCTTGCTCTATCTTGTGGTTCTCGTAAACTATTATTAGCACCACTTCCCTTTATTTGTGTTTTAGCAAATAAAAACACCTATAGAAGGCACTATAGACACTGATAAAACCTACAATGAAAAAACTTTACTCTGATAAATGGCCTATTTTGTTGAAAGTCAAAAGGATTAGCTATAAAGTGAAAAATGTGAGACTGCCATAACTAAAACTGCAGTTCCACAACCATCAGTTTTCTGTCCAGGTAAATGAAAACCCAAACGTAAACACTTCCTTACCTGTTTTTGTACTTGTGCATCATACAACTGTGGGGCTGCCATACTTTGTCTCCAAGAAATCTCCCACTGGACAGAAGATACTCGCAGGTGTCATCACCTTTAAAGTATGACATTAAGATTAGAATTAATCAAATTTTTATTAACAAACAAAAAAAAATTAAAAGAGTTCTGCTGCACTTTAAATGCTTGATACATACAGGAATCCAAGCAGTCATCAGCAGTAACCAGACTTATTGTAACAACATGTCACCAAAGTTTCTGCAAACAGTCCTGTTGCTTCTACCACATCTCCCTAAAACATTCCTCTCATCCACAAAATGATAGTGATCCAGTTTCTGCATTTGGAAACATATTGGAACAGCATCTGTGACTCCAGAATAAAAGTCATCAATCCACTGTGCTATTATTCAAGCATACTTGTATGAAATAAATAAATGAAAACAGTTCAGTATAATAACCTTCCACAAAGAATTAGCATAAACAGCTTCTTGCATAGAACATGAATCTCAAAATGAGGCTTGCWGCAAAGTCCATTACATCGACTTTTTTTAAAGCACTGGTATCACCACCCTAAAGCATCTGGAATTAAAGGCAGTATTACTACACAAAAATAACTTTACACAAGAATTCTCTGACAATCCTGAATTGCAGCAAACTTTTCCCATCTAAAAGTTGCACGCTAATTACAATTAATCTCCTTGCAGGTGGTAGCAGTTTTTCAGGTCCTTTAAAGTGCTGTAATTAGAACAGTTATGAAACGAGTGGCCGCTGTGTTTCAGTGGCGTCCCCACCAGCTCCCTCAGTGACACAATCTCCAGGCGGGGCAAAGCTGCCGGCCACAGCGGAACTGCCCTGCAGCATTTTTGTCATACTTGGCACTTGAGACCATGACAAACAGGAAAACTGTGGTAATTGAAGCAGCAATTCACTGTGGTGGCCTGTGCAGAAACAGTGGCACCAGAAAACTCTCAACACCTCCTGCGAAACCTTAACTTAATTAAACTCAATGGCAAGTTTCCCTTCAATTTGATGAAATCTGTATTAATTCTAAGAAATTGGCCTTTTCCCACCTGCTCCTCAAGGCTACTGGAAGCCACCTGTAAGGGGACAGACCCAGTTGCTGAATGTTTCAACTGCTAAGAGAAAATCTGAAGCTTTAGCCAGAATTAGATTGAATTACATGAGCTGAGCACCATGCAGGTGAGGTCTGAGGCCTGCAGGAATGGGAATTTAGGAGGCACTTACTGACAGCTAAGGAGACCCAAGTTCACAGCCCTAAAAGCAAAGGATGGGTGCTACAGTATAAGAGAGAGACAGAACCTCGCCAGCACCTACCACGTGCCCAAACAAACCTTCTACGTCCTCCATCCCACAAAGAGGAGCACGCAGAAAGGGGTGCCCTGGGGTAAGGCTCTCTGTGCAGCGTTCTCAGAAGAAAATCTAAGAAAATCTAAGTGTTTAGCTCAGCTGCAGCTACGGTGGCTTGGGAAGCAGCACGTGATTTATTTATTTTTTAAATAAAAAAATGTTGGAATCTTGATGGAAGATCATGTTGGAATCTTGAGGGAAGAGGCCTGCAGATACTCTGCTGCATCCACACAGAATGCAGAAAGAAAACAAGCAAACAAAAAAAATAATCAAGCTAACCAAGTTAATCAAGCTATTTGAAAAGATTCGAGAAGAAAACCTGTGGGGGTTTTAGTACCACTAAGGTACTCTGCTAAAGAGCATAGGCCCCTCAGTTGCAGATATTTTTATATTTGAGAATACTTCTGTCTAGCAAGTGTTCAAAGGTGGCAGGATCTCTGCTTCCCGTTCCCCTTGATAGAAGGAAATATGCAAGCGCTTTTATTTGCTGCAGCGGTAATTGGTATCAAGGAGTTCCTTGGGAGAGTAAACAAATATTCGGAATCATATTTACACTGCTCATTACTTAGCTGCTTTCATTTAAATTTTTAATATAAAATCATTCAGGTCTGGAGATAAGCCATTGTAAATACAATGATACTAGATAACAGTCTGCATAGAAAGTGCTTAGCAGAGAACTCTATAAAGCTAAGAAGTCTTTATGGACAAAGACCTATTTTGATAAATGTAAGAAATAAGAATCTCATGCCCTCTTTATGTCTTCCATAAATTGCACGCTTCATTTAAATAAAGGAACATAAATGCACAGATAGTCACAGACTATCAGAGAATAAGCATTAAAATAATAAGCACAGATTCATTTTTCCTAAAATTTTTAAAGATATCAGTATTTGGATTTAGCACTCTATACCCAGAAAGACAGAAGTCTCATGAGCTGTAAATGCCGAGACCAAAGCAGTGGCTGGAAGGTGTGTACCCTGTGTTGTGCTACAGGTCTCATTTCCCACCACCTCCTTTCTCCAGTGCATAATCCCCATCACGCTGTCAGGGCAAAAAATCAATGCATTTTGGACACCCATTAGGCTAAATGCACATCTTGTGTTCACAATTCCAAAAACAAATGTGATTTATTTATGGACTCTAACTTAGGGTGCAATCAGAAAAAACAGAATTGAGATCACAGGCCAGAAAGAACAACTGGATAAGAAAACGTTTTGAACTCTAGAAGCATCTTGATTAAATTGATTTAGTTTTCAAATTAACATAACCTTGAAAATATTATCATCAAATAAGGAAAATCATACTAACATACTGCCAAAACGTTAGATTTCTAWGCTAGGAACACATAATAGCTTATTATTATGGGTAGTCTGTACTAATCTTAATCTATATGTCACTCAAATTTATCACACATGGACATATTAGCTCTTTTCCTTAAAGCAAGCTTATGACCACCTTGCTTTCCATCATCTCACAGTTATTGACATTAGCAGCTCTAACAAATTAAATATCCATCAAGAAACTTGAAGAACCAGCAGGAAGAATCTCCCAAAATGACAAGATGCTGGGAACAGATCTATTCTTCCARTAAATAAAGCACTAAGATCTTAAGGAATTTTATATACACTTTCCCAGRCTATCTGATCCATGCATTGATGATGCTGACACTCTAATTTGTGAACTATATTTTGTTGCCCTCTCCTCCACAAACTATCCCAGAAAAATCAGAGAGAAAAGTCCTATGAATGAAGCTGGGATAATGCTAGAAAAAGTACAAAACAAGACACAGGCTTAAAGTACAGCTGACACCCAAAACTCTTAACTCTCTCTTATTTAGGACACCAAAAAGCACATCTCAGACACAGAAGTACTGATGATCCAGCACCTGGAGCAGAACATAAAATTAGCTTGGGGAAGGAAGAAGTGGCAGCTAGAGATACCCCCATCCGTCCCTTTCCTCCCCAAACTCCTTCCTGTTTTCACAAAAGTCATGAAAGGGCTCGGGGAACAGACTGCACTGCAAATGCTATTTCTTGGCTCATTTACCCTACAAATTTAGCAGTGGTTATATAATCAAGTGTTATTATTCAAAATGACCTAAGGCTCCTCAGTTCTCTTCTTTCAAAACACAACTGTTAGAAGCAGATGCTTTTCCCCTCCCTCCCACCCAAAACTTCATTTCCTTACCACTGCTACTGCATCATGACGACTAAAAAAAGCTGGAATAACATAAAGGATGGGAAAAAAAAGTCTGGATAGACTCCTCAGAATCATAGCCGAGTTTGGTCTGGTTCTCTATGAGCGCTCAACACATGAGACACTCTTATCATCATAAGTGGGCTTCAATAAAACTGTCATTCTTCAATCCCTTCTCGGTTGTAGGAACTCTCAGGCAAATTTTGAGACACAAAAGAGAAATATCTATTTAAAATTTAAATCAAATATACACCATGATCCTGTTTTTGTCATTGATGAGAATCCACTTCTCTCTCCTGGGTAGTTCAGGAGTCCTCTGACAGAAATTCACCCCTAACCTCCCAAGCAAATGTTTCGGATACCACCAAGCAGACTGACACTTCCTTCCTAATCACAAAGCACGCGCACGTTTCAAACTGATTTAGTCCTGAACAGCAGCTAGAGGATGTGGTGAATTCCCTGCCAGGGGAGGCCACATGCTTCTCAAATGTGCACAAGCTCCCATGAAGACAGGCGGGCGCTGCACGCCCACAACTCGGGGCCTCCAAGAAGCCTTGTCCTCCTCCCGCTTTTCAAGCAGTGCCAACTACTCCAGGTCACCAATATCACCTTGTCCTTCCAGGCAACGCTTGCCTCACTAGCACAGGGCCATTGCTGGGCACGTCTAAGGAAAGCTCTGCCAGATGCAGCTTATCAAGGTCTTTCTTCTCTTCCAACTGCTGCTGTCTGCAAGGCAGCGGCTGCTGCTGCTGCCAGAACTTCTGTACACGGAGCCCTGGAAGCAGCAGGTGACCTGCAAAGCTGAAGCTTCGTTTACTTGTTCACAGGATCATGCAGGCATRGCCCAGGTCTGGAAGTTCCTTAATGCTTTAAAATATCTGTCCAAAAACYGCATTTTACTTTCAATCAAATGGTGAACTAATAATATACCATGGTAAAATTATCTGAATTTTACTTTGTTCTTTAATTTAGTTTATAATTCCTCACTTATGTTTTCCACTGAATTTGTAAAACCTTCAATTCTTCATTCAGTGCCTGAATATACTAAGTTTTAGAAGAGAGGTACACCTCTCTTTCAAAGCAGCAGAATGTCAACTGTTCACAATTATTTAAAATAAAAATGTAGTGCTAAATGTGGTAATTCAGTGGCTGTAAAATCTTAAATAAAAAAATTATTTGCAACAAGGTCAAAGTCTGTGCCTTTGAAACACATTAATAACTGAAAAATACACAGCACTAACTTCACTAGATATAATACAAACAGTAATACACCAAATTAATGTTTTGAAGCTGCATGCATGTTAAAGATGGTTCTAACTTAAATTTTTCCAAGAGTTTTAAATGGCCTTTAAACATGACAGCTTCAGTTGTAACACTGAACACGAATTTGGGCTACCACAAGCCACAGCCCAACATTTTTTTCCTACAAATAGCTTTCATACAGGCAAATTCTACTGGGAAATGCAAACTAAAACAAGCACTTGCAGAACTGAGCCCAAAATTAACTGAAGTTAATCAGACAAAA